ATAGATGTACTTACGTGACTTCTTGATAACTAGAAACTATTATAAAAACTTAATTATTTTTGGATTAAACAACATTTTACAATATTCATATAGGACATACTATACAAACATAAAATTTGGAAACTAGCCTCTGATTTGAAGTTGAAATGTCTCTAAAGTGAAATTATTACTATTTTCACACCCTCACATAATTAACAATTAGTACATATGACTTGATGATACAGACCCACTTATTTTTCAGAATGAAAAGCAACCTGAGATATTTTCAACCAATTAGTCATTACCATATGGAGAATCATAAACCCAGATGAGCAAAACTATGGGCGTACACCTTAAGATATACACATTACCGTTTTGATACCTTGTATACAGTCTCAGGGATGTCTCACAAATTCTTTAATATCAATATCAGGTATATATCACAGGTAGGTTAGTGACAATGAAAACCATACTTCATGTAATATTGCTGTCTATAATCAACCTATTAAACCATTAAACCATGATTCTCTATCTTTCCTCTCTCTTCCCTTTCCCACTCCCCCCTCTCTCTTTTTCCTGTTTCCTGCTTGCTCCCATCATGTCTTCAATATGATTATAATATGTGTGTTTAATCATGTTTTTCAAAAGATTTGGCTAATATGACATTTGGAGATTAATATGGGACAGTTTCTCATTATAAACTGCTCTCTTCTCCAGTAATGTATATAACACTATGGTCACAAATTGATGTTCTGAATGCAGACAGTAACATCTAATATAGCTCATTTACTACAAGATATTTAACATGTTCGTAGATACAGGTGTTACAATGACTTTCTACTGTAATGCAATTTTGAAATTTTAAAGAGACAGTTGGTTAGACTGACATTGATTGATGGGTTACTTGCATGATTGTGCTTCAATCATGAAATCATTCCATTATTTTAAAAACTAGGTAACCTGATTGGAAATCTAGAGAAATTAGATGCAGTTTTCCACAAAACTATTGTCCAAGGGGATCAGTAGAGACTATTAAACACATCTTGAAGGTGATGAGCAGTTAAGCCCGTTAATTTTCTTGACTGACATACTAAATGAAATGAAAGGGAAGGCTAAAACTGTTAACAGTTGATTTCACATGTGATACCCATCATTTTTGAACATTTGAGAGTACCTTTTAGGTTTTCTTTCGTTTGCACGTCTTTGGCACATATCACATATTCAATAATGTATAAATTTTAGTTCAACATACTTTGTAGATAAACATCTAAATAAATGCTTAAGTGTTTATCCACATATATATTATGGGGTTAGAATTCAAGAAGGAAAGGGTAAAAAATTCATGAATCTGAATTTATTGGACTTTCGTGAAGAAGAAGAAGCATTTAATAACTTAAGTGCAACCCGAAGTCTTGACACAAGGGAGGAAAGTTATTTAGAATAACACAGTGTTTTAATCTAAATTAGAGTTTTGGAATTTTTAGTGAAACCTATGTTTAATTGATGGTGATCTTTGATATATAAATACAGTAAAATCAACATGGGGTTTAAATGTTTCTAGTGTAATATGTGAAGATATTAAATGAAATCTATGAATATGATCAGATTATAAGATAGATTACATTTTATGGCAAAAGGTTTAAAGTATGAAACAACTTAGTATTAGAGACTTTACCTTAACAAAGAAAATGTTCTCCACTGGCTGGAGATGGGTGACACATATACACATAAACAGTCCTTCACAGATATCCTCTCTATTATATTTATTTGAAAGCCTTGTGAAAACCCATGTCCATGCTTTTCTTGACTAGTGTCCAATGGCCAGTAGCAAAATAGACAAATAAGATTGATGAACAAATAATGATGGCTGGCACTGCCCCGTCATATGGGTCCAAATTAGTGTCCTTAGGCTTGATGTTCTATAATCAATCATGTTTAAGATACTTCATCAGTTGCAAAGCATACAGGCTCACATGCATGCATAGCTGTATATCCTAACCTTCACTCCCCTTATGTTTTAATAATTTATTTTTTATTATTGTTATTTATGTCTATGACTGTATCGCTGTATGCATGTAACTGCACCCCTGTCATACAATGCCCACAGAGGTCAGAAGAGGACAACAAAAACCCTGGAGTTTGTGTTACAGACAGTTATTTACTGCCGTATGAGTGCTGGGAATCTATCCTGCTTCTCTACAAGAGCAATCAGTGCTCTTATCCACTGAGCCATCTCTCCATCCCCTGTGTTTTAATAGACCATTTATTGAGCCAGGAGTGGTAGCTCAAGTCTTTAATTCCAGAACTAGAGGCAGAGGCAAGTGAATCTCTGAGTTTAAAACCAGCATGGTCTATATAACAAGTTCCAGGCCAGCCATGGCTACATACTGAGACCATCTCTTAAAAAAATAAAAACAAAAACAAACCACTTATCTCTTGTATTACTAACAATGCCCAATCAATAGTATCAAATGGTTATAGGACATGGTATGCTTTGGGTTTCATTTATAAGGTAAGAGTGGTCATTTTACATGAGATTGTTCATTTACAAAACATTTCCTGTGTAGCAAGTTTTGTTCATAATCTTGTTGAGAAAATAGTTGCTCCCATTATTAGGGGTTCTAAATGGAGCATATTTGAATATTTGCCCTGGGAACTTTAGGTTATTAAGCAGTTTTTGCTTGGCTCTGAAGAGGGTAAATATGACCTCATTTCACACTTATGGGAGCACCACGTTGACCAGCATATTTCCCTGTGGCTATTTTTCCTCCAATACCTGGCAGAGTCTGTGAATTCAGCATATCTGATTCATCCAAGACCCCACACCCTTTTTTTTGCCCCCTACGAATTGATTTCTTTCAATGAGTCATATATGGATATGCACTTTCCATCCCTTATTTATGCACAGTCCTTTTGCAAGATTTCTCCACATGTTCTTCCAGATTCCTCTGTGCTTCACTCTGAGGAGATGCACCATTCATGACCTCTCTTTCATGCCACACTTGTAATCCCAGGAAATGCATGATAGTACCTGCCCTTCACATTCTTTGTTTCTCTGCCAAGTTGTCCCTTCTATCCAGTGGATCACACGAAAACGCTGCTCCTTGAAACACAGAGTCTTGGATCATTTCTTATCATTCCATTATCAGACAGCTGAGCAGAAGCACCGTAAAAGTGCTCCCTCTTCTAGCCTGCTACACACCTGTCAGTCTCCTGCTTTCTCTAGATTTGTTTTGCCCTGGAAAACCAGAACTAAGTTCCTTAAACTCTGTCTCAAATTTCTAGACACCACACATTCAGCATATATTTTAACTGAGTCATTAGGTCTTGGGGTTTTTTTTTTCCTTTGAAGAATAACGTATTTAACATAGAAAGGTTTCCCCTTTAAATGCTTGCAGTGTTGGTGTGACTTTTTAAGGAGTCATAAAAGCACACACTTCTTTTCCAATTGCTGTTCTTTAAAATGTTGAACTTTGACAAAGCAGTTTTACCTAGATGGACATGTTTTCATTTTGTTTTTCCATAAAGCAAAATGTCTGATTTTGTGTAATAAAATTCTATTTATATTACTATAAACTATGACACAAAGAGAAATTCCCTGTTGTACAACACTGTTTCCTTAAGTTCTAGAAAGATGATCCCTTCCTGGAAGGGTACCAGAAGAGGGGCACTCTTATGAAGTGTCTGTCTTATACAATTCTTTGGGAGCAAGTATCTAAAGAAAGGACACACCAAAACATACTGGGGAAGGCAAGACTAAGCCCAAGAGAAGTAAATTAAAATGGCTTCGAAAAATAATCTAGGAAATATGTGCCTGTACATTCAAGTATGTTTGTAAATATGTATGTGTATAAATGAATGTATGTGAAAATATACACACATGTGAAAGCATATGTTATTGTATATAAATATGTGCATGTGCATGTAAGCATATATGTGTATGCTAATAGGTATGTTTCCTAGCAATGTTCACCAGAAGAACAGTGAGGTGCTGATGCTAAGTAATGACAATACCTAGGATTCAAATCCTTGTTCTCAATACCATTAGCCACTAAAGAAACAGAAAACTTAGAAAAATGTGTGATACTAGACTTAGAGCAAAAGAATAAAAGCCTGGAATATATTACCCCACAAAGAAAGGAAATATTGCAATAAATGAAAGGATGCATTATAAGGACAGATTTTAAAAAAGAAAAGAAAAAAAAAGAAAATCGCACTAGTCAAAACTGGGATAATTTGAACACCAAAATAATTGAAGACAATAGTTAATCATAGGCCACAAAATTTAGAAATCTGCTTGTTGAAAGAGATAATAGATGCACAATCAGAGGGAGATACTGGCTCTTAAAGAGAAATCTGAAAATTTGTGACACTTGAAACATACCTGAACAGCAGTGTTTTGATTAAAGGATTATGGTCGTGTGCTATTAATTTCATTAATAAACAAACTACTTACCCTTGATTAAGTAATTTAACAACTAGAAGTGATAATGGAACACTAGAAAGTCAAATGAAAATGAAATCCTTCTTGAAGGACCCAAAATCAGACAACATGGTAAATTGATGACCTAAAGACCATGTTATAAATTATTCGTAGGTGTGCTAATTTGAATAAGCAGAATCATAATATTCAAAGATGCTAATTGATTTTTTTCTCTTTCTGAACTTATTAGTAATATGCAACCAGAAACCAACTAGCAGAGTGGAAACATTTCCAGATTAGAAGTTTAAAATTGAACCCATTATTCTGCAATTATCCTAGTTATTTTCACTAGTGACCAGTCTCTTTTAACTGTAAAATGAAATAAGTGATTTAATTTACTTACTCTTTCTCTTTATATTTTAAATTAAATGACTGTTAATGTTTCCTTATTTTATTTTTATATTATACATTAATATCGTATTTAATATGATTCTAGAAATATTGCAAATTCCCATTATTTTTTGAACTGCAAAGAGTATATTTTTATTTGCTTTGAGTAAACAGACTGTCTTATCCTATCAATTTCTTTTGTATACAGTGCAAGTTCCAGGGCCAGTAGAAAACCTGAAAGCTGTATCTACCTCACCTACCTCAATTCTTATTACTTGGGAACCCCCTGCCTATGCAAATGGTCCAGTCCAAGGTTACAGATTGTTCTGCACTGAGGTATCCACAGGAAAAGAACAGGTAGGCAAAGGAATGGGTCACATGACTTCCATCTCCTAGATGTCTCTAGAGCTGGAGACACAGGGTGTCTGCAAACTCTTTTACAGTTCAGGGTTTATCACATTCATTGAACATCTGGATAGTTAGAAAACACTTGTTACTGGAACCCAAGTAATTTCATCACATTCTGCAGGTAAAAGTGGCAAAGGGTAATGGGGTGAAGTTTATAGGGAGGATACCAGTTTGGGGTTTGACTAAGATTGGTCAACGTTGGTAACCATATCCTGGGTCCAGAGACACTGTATACTCACTAGTCAACCTAAGCAGCGATTCCTTTATCGCTATCGGCCTTATTCAAGCTGTGTTTTCACGTTCGTATTCTACACTTTTTCTGTTTTCTCTTCACATTCAGGTGATGATGAACCCTTTCCCTATCTTTAGAACTTGCTCTGGGAAGCCAACCCTCTTCCTTATTTCCATGTTTCTCTGAATTAGTGACTAGAATCAGTGTCTGAAAAGAGACAAATGAGGTCTTCACGTAGAGTAGCAGTAGAGTAAGTACGTGGAGAGACAAGCAAAACTTCACGATAATCTTCGGTGAGATGTGCAAATACAGATATGTACATATTTAGTCATACATGACTGAGATGTTTATTTCCAAATTCTGTCACTCATGTGGAAAAGATGTATTAAATTAAGGTTAATTAAATAGCAAAGTGGCTCTAAGATACCGTTTGTGAAGGGTGCCAAGCATAGTGTGATTGTCAGACTCCTATATATGCTGTATGATAAGAATTTGGTATTTACAAAGTCTTGCTAGAACCTTAATCAGACAAGTTGTATTATAAGTCAGTATTGCACGAGCTGCTCTTATTTCTACTTTGTTTCTACTATGACTGTTTGTTTCTACTATGACTGTTCCCATGCCACTTTTTACTCTTAATTTTCAGCTATGTATTCTACCCACATCTTAAAATGTATGCATTCATAAGCTTATTTTAGAAATTCAAAAGCTGTATTGCCCAAGATTGATAGAAGTGGTATGGGAAACCATCATGAACTAAACAAGGGCCCCTCCCGCAAGCGCTGGCTCTGATTTCCTCAATGACCTTCACCTTCATTACCTCCCTGCTGCAGCTGTGAAGTACTGAGCACAGCTTCAGCCTACATCATGGCATTTTGGGACATAAAATTTGTGGCAACCTATCTGGCTGCTTCAGTAACTATAGGTGTATTTCATCCATCAAAGGACCAAGTTTGTGGTTTTGGAGTGTAGTACTTAATTTGGGATACAGAAATGAATCTCTTTCCTTTCTGCTTGTTAGGGTTTTGATGTGGGTAGAATAACCCATTCTATTCATTGCTCTGGGTGGTGTTAAACAAATTGAAACTTAATGACTATAAAAAGTAGAACAGAGATGTTTTGACAGGGATCTTCAGAGGTGTGGTTTTACAGCAATTCATTAAAAGGATAGAGTGTACTTCTATCAGCAAGTGTGTTAACATTCAATTCCTTGATTGCACAGAATGACTGCCATTTCAAGTTTAATGTTCTTTCTTAATAAAGGTTTTGGCATTTTATGTCTCCAGAATATAGAGGTTGATGGACTATCGTATAAACTGGAAGGCCTGAAAAAATTCACGGAATATACTCTTCGATTCCTAGCTTATAATCGCTATGGGCCGGGAGTATCTACTGAGGATATAACAGTGGTTACCCTTTCAGATGGTAAGTTATAAAGAGTGAAATTTCATTCCGTATTTGTTTTAAAATGAAAAATGATTGCATATATGTTATTAACTCCATTTCATTGTTTTTGACTAATATAATTTGTAATGTTTAGCATAAATAAGACATTTAGACAACATATTCACACTATTGTCACCAAATTTAAATTAGTGATTGGGGTACATGCACTGAATCAAGATGGATTAATGAATAATCACCAAGATGTGGCTACTGCCTAGAGCTCATATTATTCCTGTGCTTGTATTTGTTTATTTTTATAAATGCTCTAATACAAACACATTTGTTAAGTATGTGTACAGGTTCAGATTGGTGTGTTTCTTTCATTTATCATTCTTAAAGGGCACAGATGATTAAAAGTATAAATGATAGGAAATCCCTTGTAGATCACTTAATTTGAAAATATATCCTGAGGATTTATGCGGAATAAACCTGTATTGAAAGTATTAAAGTTGAGCATGGATATGTGTACCTTCATTTCCTCTTGCCTACTAAATGAAGATTAGGCATATTTTTAAATGCCATAAACGTAGGAAGAAATCTTAATGAAGACTGTGGATTTAACTGTGTAGTGCCAAGAATAACTCGAATGATATAATGAAAGCTTGGGAAATTTAATAAAGAATACAGAGTTGATGGCTTGAGTTGGGAACCAGTGGAGATGCAGGCAGGTATGGACTCGCAAAGACGGCGCCTGTGAACACTAAAGAGGCCAAGAGCTGGCTCTTGTCAGCAATAGCTTCATTGTTAAGTGTGTTTAATTCTACAAATTATTGATATTTTGAATTGAAAATGTCTTCAACTTGTGACTCCTTGACCTATCTCACATTCTTTAATCTGGGAAAGCGTAGAGGCAGGTGCTCACTGAATATCAATGAAATTAAGAAGTACACGCACTTTTTAAAGGACATTGCAAAAAGAACACAGGACTGATGCTCATTTGCAATTTCAAATTAAAAGTGTATTTTCCATGTAAGGCCACTTCAGTATCAATTTTAATGTAATTCTTCGACCCAACCATCTGATTTTGTTATTCATGACAGAACAGAATATGTATTGACTGAATAAATTACTTCATGGCATATAATTATAAAAATAAAAGAAAACAAATGAAAATGAATATTTTACATAATTTATGTAGATTTCATTCACAATATGAACTGTAATACTGTGGCCTTGTTCTCCACCTTGGTTTTAAATGTCCTAAGTGAGAAAGGTAGATTATTACTCACAAGACTAAGAATTATATTCTAGAACCGCTGTAGTGCTTAGGACTTCTACCATTTTTGTCATTTAAAACACAGAGGCATCCATGTATCCCTAACCCCAATAAATATCATTGTTGGAAAAGCACTAAGTTCCCTTTATTAGACAAATTTGATAGGAGAAACCAGGGGTGCTGAGATCCCTTTCTATGTGTACTATGACCTCATCTCTAATCATCTTTATAATCAACTCATCTCCTGTAATTTCCAATAAAATCTGTGCTGTTGGCTTCCTCTTATCACCCGGCCCCCTTCATCTAATGTTCTCTCTACTGAGACTCTTCATACTGAGGTCATGCAACACATTTAGATGTATTAGTAATGTCCAGTGCTCTCCTTCTTCTGTGTCCTCAGTTATAGGCACTGGTTTCCCTTGACACTTTGTATTATTTATTATAAGTAACAATTAGATAGGCTAATCTAGGTACACACCTAAAACAATGAATGATATACACATTAGCATTTAATATTTCTTGACTGTGTCTATCTATATTTGCTTTTCTTATTTCATTAAATGTTTTAAATATGAAGGATAATCTTATATCCAACTTTGTATTCCTTCCAACTCTGTGTTTATTGCATTAATTTCACCCAAAACTACACATTTTATGTAAAAAAGTATCATTAGAACTTCCCATGCATTGAAGCAACTTATTATTCAACTCCTTTTTAAAGAGGATTGCAATTTTCATTGTGTTACAAGAATACTTCATATAAAAATTTATATTGGGACAGAGAAAAATGTAAAAACAAAATTAAATGAAAGAAATTTGTTTTGATTTATCAGGTCTTCTAAGTTATTTGTAAATATTTTTATCTAGATGAGACATCATTTCTAATTTAGCTCTACTTTATTTTTTTGTATAGAAGCATAATTTCCCATTCAAACTCCTCTACCTAGTATACCATGAGCTTACAATTACCTGTATCTTCAAACTATTCATCTTAGATAATATCTAGTTTCCAAATTTTTCCCAAAATACTTTTTCCAAAACTACTTGACATTAATTGGTCACTAAGACCTGTTAAGAATAAATTAGTGGTTTGGAGAGATGGCTCAGTGTTTAAGAGCACTGACTGCTCTTACAGAGGACATGGGTTTGCTTTGCAGGAGCCACATGGTGGCTAACAATAATCTGTTACTCCCGTTCCCCAGGAATCCAGTACCAACTTCTGACCTCCACCAGCATTTCAAGATGCAGATGCATTTATGTCCATGCAGTCAATAAACTGATGCACATAAATAAAAATAATAAAATATTTATTTAAAAGAATGAATTCAGATCTCTGTGAGTTCAAGGCCAGCCTGATCTACATAGTGAGTTCCAGGCCAGCTTGGACTACAGGGAGACCCTGTCTCAAAAGACCGAAAAAAAAAAAGAAAAAAAAAAGAAGAAGAATTAGGAATTAAAAGCTCATGCCAACTTATCCATATCCAAGATCAGAAAGCTATAATTTCATAGACAAACTACCTAAGTATATGCTTATTGCTGCTGTCACTGGTATTTATTGAATAATAACTAAGTCATCAACCACTTTGCTATCATTTCTATAATGCTTTCTTCTTTATAAATGACAAAACTAATATGCACAGAATTATAAATCTGGATATGTCACAAGACTTGAGGTGGGGGCAGGAAGACAGAAAGTTTTTGGCCAGTCTGGACCCCATAGGGAAACCTCTATCTCAGAAAGCCAAAACAAACAAAATTCATAAAAGCTAATAAGCAGCAGAATAAAATTCAATGTTTATGCATTTTTTATTTTGTGATAATATCTCATCTCAATATATTTTTAAAAGGCTTACAATCAAATATGTTATTTTTAATCATGAGCTCCACATACATGATAGCACTTGGTTCTAAGGGGCGAAATTCAAAAACCTGAAATTATGGAAGTCCCTTAAGAAATGTGGGGATTTTATCTGTACTAACCATCAAATATATAAGCCAGGAAGGCTCTCTCATATTGGAAGGAATCTCTGACTACCTCTGATTGGATTTAATGTTTTACTGTGAATAGCAATACTTTCATACTTTGAAGAAAAACATGTCTTTCTCCCTCTGCTCTATGAAACCGTGAGACATGTTGGAAAGATGAAGAATCCTATCAATTGTTAAGTGATAACCTGAAAGTCCTGAATTTTCCAAGGGGGACAGCAAGAATTGCCAGTATGCTGTCAGTGGAAAATAAGAGAGTTTTATATTGCTGGAAAGGAGACAAAATGCATTAACACCATTGTGTAAATACATTTGGAAATTCATTGCATCAGTTTTCAATGTTTAATATAGAAAATAATCTGGATGTTCTGAAGGTTGTAATAGTTACAGGAAGAACACCTATTGGTCTTTTTAGTATAATTTGGCCTAACAGAAATAGGATATCAAATACCATTTACAAATGTAAAATGAGTTTTGTGGGTATAATATTACATAAATGCACAGAATCTGGGCTGATCAAGGGAATTTATAGACGAAAGAGTTTCTTTTGCCTTAGGTTTTCATTGGCAGAGTCCATAACAGTGAGAGATGCATGGTAGCAAGTGGTAGTGTGGGAGCAGAAGCTTAAAGCTTAAACATCTCACATCTTCAACACAAACACTAAGCAAAGAGAGCAAACTGGAAGAAAAGGCAGACTACTAACTTTCAAAGCTTGCCCCCAATACCCACTTCCTCCAACAAGTCTATGCCTAAAGATTGCATGACCTACAAAACAATGCTAACAACTGAGGACAAAGTGTCACAATATCTGAGCCTTTGGGGGACAGATGCCATTCAAACCACCAAACTGACAAAATAAACAGAAAATGTGTTACCTTCTCCTTCCTCTAAAACTCTATCACCAATCATCAACTGTTTCAGATTTAAACAACTACTGAAATTATTTTCAAAACCAAAGTTTTGTTTTAGAAAATAATATTTTGCAGATGTATATAAGATTATATGAAAATATATGAAATGGTACGCTATTTCTCACCAAACTCTAGAGTTAAAATTTCAGTTGCTACTTATTGTTTATACTCAAACTTTAAAAATTAATGCATTCTAAATGTCAGCCAATACCTCAATTTAAAAAATGAAAAACAAAACTAGTATTTAAACCTATAAGTTTAAAAGCTTTTATTATTACTTTATAACATTGATACTAATTGCTTGAGTAATTCAATGTATATTTGCTGAATATACATGGACCTTACAGGTTTTTCATTACTGAGGATACAACATCAAAATGTGAGCACTCTTGTCCCTGTGCTAGTTAATTGTATACCTAGTTAAATGTTGTAACTTTATGCTGGGTGTGATGGTGCTTTAATCCCAGCTATCAGGAGGCAGAGGTAGGTGGATCTCTGTGAGATTGAGGCCACCCTGGTCAACATTATGACTTCCAGGTAGGCTGGGACTAGGGAGACCCAGTCAAAAAAAATACAAAATGTTGTAAACCTAACAAAAGTGCTGAGATGCTTCCTAAATTGTGGAATATTGTAAGATAATATTTGTTGATTGAGTTCGTAAAACACGTCTCTGCTATTTTATCACAGGCTGCACTGTCCTGTCTATAGTACTTATTAAGTACCAAGATAAGAACTTCAGGTTAAAGCAATGTATATTATTGCAGTTCCCATTATGTGCTAAAAGGTTCTGGTATCAGTACTTAAATGGACCTTTTTCTCATTCAGTCATTGATCAGTCATATTGATTGGATGTCAGTTTGAAGGATATAGAGATTATTCCAGCATATAGCATGTCCTGAGGGTGAATGATTTTCAGACAGTAAAATCAGAAGAGGCCATAACTAATTCAGAATAAAACATTAGTACCCAGTAGAAAATTATAGAAACCATCTAAGTAAAATAAAAAGAAGAGGCAACAGTACCAAAAATTAACCCTGAAGATCAAGTAAATGCCCTAGAGAGGTTCACTTCTAGACAATTTACCATTTGGTCACATGTGAAAATAGGGACTCATTTTATAGATTACCACATGCCAATAATTAGTTGAATATTGTATCAGTTCCTTAGGTGGAGCACGAAGTTTCATTTTACTATGATTCTTTCCACACAGCTAGAACACTTCCTCCTATGTAGCAGTCATTCAACCAATGCTCACCTTTGAATTATACAAATGAGAGAAAATTTATATTTTGGATACAGAAAATATTCATTGCAACTATGAAAAAGATAGCTGTGTGCATTCTATTTTCATTAAATGTTTGCAAAATTAAATGTAGGCAAAAATAATGAAATCTAGAAAACGTACAAATTAAAATAAACGAGATTTTTGTTAACAGAATTAATGTACTGAATGCTATTGCACCTGTTTGCCTTTGTGTCACACAAATTTAATTGCAAACAGCTAAATGAGGAAATGTTTCTTTAGTCTGTCTCTCTATGTCTCTCTCTGTCTCTGTCTCTGTCTCTCTCTTTGACATAACAAAGATTGCATTAAAGGGATTAAGCAAATTGAGTGCCCATTAGAATTATATATTTCCTTAAAAACCGTGTAGATCCTGAAATACACAATATCTTAAGCCTTTAAAACCACTGTGGAAAATCTCCCGTTGCGTTTTCACAGGTTCCTTCAGGAAGGTTGTCATAAAGCTGTAATTAGACCACAGTATTTGGTATCACAGCTGGTGCGCTCTTGCCAAACAGTTTTGCAGACTCCAAAAATGGATAACTAACTGGTCCACCCAATGAGGGAAAACAAATAAAAGTAGTTAATTCTCATCTCTATGGGAAAAATCAGGAAGGACCACCTGCTCACATTATCTACCCAGTTATCATTATAGGATTTGAAAAAGTCACACTTTTTCTCTTCATCAAAGGCTGGGGTTTCTCTCTCAAGTCTTTGGCAGTAACTATCACACCTTGTTTGATTTCTTGTAGTGCCAAGCGCTCCACCTCAGAATGTCTCACTGGAAGTGGTTAATTCAAGGGTAAGTCAACCAGATGGGCAACACATTACTTATTGTGCATGTGTGTTAGTCTGCTCACCACACTACCAAGTGTATATAGGACGTGGACCTCTACGTGAAGGAATGTTCTGGAAGAACACAATGAGTGGCACATGGTCTTCCATTCTCTTTGACAAAACTTAAATATCTAAGTGAGGACCTTGTTTCTGCAGGTACATTTGACTGTATACATAGAGGGCTTAGGGCTATTCCAATTTGAAAGCAAGGTGCCTCTTTTACCTCTACTTATCTGACTTACCTATACCTATGCTTTTATCTGTGTACACACACAAATTTAGTAAACTGTGGTGTCAGAACATTGAAAGAGTTTGACAAAGAATGAGTTTAAGTGATTAGTTTGAATTGATATTTCATCAGTATCTCTCGTCTCTCATTTAGATATAGATATCAGGGACAATCCTTAACGGTATTAAGCTATATTATGACGTTAATATATATTCCACCCATTAATGTTTTCCTGACTCACAAAGTTTCTGACTTTCAAAACAGCTTAATTAAAGCTCAGCATTACAAGGATAGGTAGGCTAATAGCTGAACTCAGTCACTATTTCAAGGGTGACTCAGAGTTGAAAATAAACCAAAGCTACTGCATTTGTCAGGATTTTCTAGAGGAACAGATCCAGGAGAATAAACATATTACAAAGAAAAATTATTAGACTGGATTAAATAAAACAGATAAGGTAGTCCAAAAATGGCTGGCTCCACGCTAGAGATGCTGAGAACTCAATAGCCATGTAGTCCATGGGACGGGATGTCTCAGCAGTCCAAATCTGGCATGTAAGGCCTGGAGGAATTTTGGAAAGCTGCTGATGTTCAGTATGCCTTTGAAGGCCACAGGACCTGGGTTCCAATGTCAGCAAAGGGTAGCAACAGTGGTGAGGCAAAGCAGAGGCATTCACCAGCAGGAAGCAAATGTAGGCAGATAAAGGTAACCCTGCTTACCCCTCAGACCATTGTATATCTGAGGTGCTGCTGGTATGCACTGTCCACTCTGTAGATGGGTGACAGAAAATGTCCACACAGAGCAGCCAAGAAGCATGCCTCTTAGTTGAGTCCAAAATCAAGTCAAGCTGACAACCAGGATTAACCATCACAGCTACCTAGAAGAAAAGAACAAATACAGCTTGATCTAGGTCGATGCTGTGATCACCTGATTTCTTCTGGAAAAAAATTTTGCTAGCCCCTGGTCTCATGCAGTAACAGGAAAATTATATGAATCTTAGTCAAGATCTGAGATTTAAACCTAATTTCCTTTTAAAATAATTGCATGTAGTCTTAGTAAAAAAAATAGACCATAATTAAACATGTGTCTATGTTCAGAATATGAGTGTCAATGCCTTTGTCATTAGCCAATTCTGAGGAAGTAGTAACATGTGGACAGGACATAATTTAGTAGTAGTGACCCCTTCGTTTCATACATCATTCCATGGCACCTTCTTAAAAATCTATAATGAAGAATTATTTTGTGACTTTGATCATATTTCCTTATGTTAAATGAGGTTATTATCTCTGGAGCTAATGAAATGTCTCTAAAATTGTTATGCTGAGATAAAAGCTGGTGATACAGATATGTATTTACTGTCATGAAAGTAACTGAGTTTAGGAAACAATGTGAGATAAGAGAACAACACCAGAAATTAGCATAACTTTAAGACAGACACTCATTTTTCAAGAGCATTAAGTCTTCAAATTAAGAGCTCAGCAAGGTAAAATCAATCAGATTGGATAATTATGGCATACATGTGGTGAATGCTGGAGATCTGATAACATACCGTAGCTGCTTTTGTTTCATTGTGAGAACCTCACCCCATGTTTTTTCCTTGGGGGAAAATGTAGAAATTGATCCATAAACTACTTTGTTTCTGTGCTCCTGTTCTCTAAAAGTGTAGTTGAGCAAAGGATGAATGCTTTCTTCTGAAACGTGAATAAGGCATTATTGAATGACCCTGAGTGCTTACTATACTTGAATATGGATTTACTATTCTCTTGGAGAGACTATCTCTGGATTGCAAAATTGGCTTTTTCAACTGATTTATATGTATGTACTTATATCACAGTTCTTACTCTCCTATAATGTACAATGTCTGCAATAAGCACATGTAGCCACTCCTGCTTTGATCCTGTGGCAGCTGCTCTCTGGAAAGCTAAATGTTAGAAAATTTAACTAGTTCATTCACCTTTCAGAATTAATGTAACAGACATGGAAAGTCTCTTATTTTTCTCTTCCTGATTCTCTCATTCTATTACTTCCTACCCTTCAAGAAATTATGAAGTATAATTTTGTTCACAAAAACTGCATGACCAAAACCATTTTTTTCACATTCGCTATAAGTTGGTTTACATAAAGCTAAAAATAACAACTTTGATGACTTTTTGTTTGAAAAATCTCAAATACTTTCATATTTATCTTCAAATATTACTATGTCAAAGAACAGTCCATATTTAAAAAGAAATACTAGAACTGCATTAATATTGTATATTTTAGACAAATAGGGTTTGATATTCTATTCTTTTTGTTTAACTTTGGATTTTTCTCAAGATAGACTGGAGTGGATGGGATTCTGGTGCTGGAAAAGAGTCACATTTTGAACGTTTATTCTCTATCATATATGCAACTATAGAAACTATTTTTTTATCGACAGTCACTGAAGAAACTTGCTATTGCTAACATTTTTACATAAAGATAATTAGGATTTCTACCAGCACTGAGGGAGAGGTTGTTTTGAAGTTAAAGTGACAATTTAATGATACATATGCTATGGTCATGTAAAAGGTATTGGACTGAGAAATATTCTGTTCTGCAATATTCAAACAGAGATCTTCAACAAAAGAATCTAAGGGAATTCACTCTTAAGAATAAATATTTGGAATTTATTTGGAAAAAAAGTTATTCCCACACTGCATCATCTTTTTAAAAAACAATTCAGTGTCTTTGCCTGAAGAAAACTAAAATCACAGAATATACTAGAATTCTCTATGGAAACTCACTGTGACCAAACATTTTGTTCAGACATAATGGCTTGACTTACATGTACTAGATTTCAGATCATAAAAACATGTAATGAGATGGTTGCTCATGCTCAAATTTAGTTACATGAAATAATGTCTTTATAAGGAAAAACAACAAACATTCTGTACTTTAAAATTTTGACTGTTTTACTAGGAAAATAAATTTCAAGGTCAATCTCTTTGGATTTATGGAATTCAATTATTTAAGCAAAAATATTGTGACTTAGTTGCCTCAAATTGTAGAATCACAGAGTTTATGGGGCACCGGAATTCTTCCTTAAGAGTTCATACAGTCTGTCATTGTGTTAAGTGGGGGGGGGCATAGGAGGCTGCCAGTGGGGAAGGGGGTATAAAGATAATTAAGATTGATTGAGATATTCTGTATGAAATACACAAAAATTCAATTAAATTTTTTTAAAGACAGATTGGGAATGGAGACCAAATACAGTCAAAACCTATTGTATGAAATTTCCACAAATTCAGTTTTAAATAAAAGAACATTAAGAGTATATGCTAATAGTCAGGAAACCTGGCTTCTTTTTCCAGTTCTTTCAGACTTTGGAAAGTTATTCTAATTCATTTTCATTTATTCTATCACAATTTACTTTGTAAACATGATATACTACATTTGATACTAGGAATGTGATCCAGACATTTTCTTTGTAGAGTTCACAGTTCAGTAGGAAAACATATAAGGGAAAAGACACTTTTTTATGTATATTTTATTTATTATTTTTATTTTATGTGTATGAGTGTATTACCTGCATGTATGTGAATGCACCCATGTCATGCAATGCCAGGGAGGTCAGAAGAGGGCTTCAGATTCCCCTGGAACTGGAGTTAGGGATGGTTCATAGCCACCATGTGGGTAGTGGGACTCGAACCCAGGTCCTCTGCAAGAGCAGTCAGTGCTCTTAACCGCTGAGCCATTTCTCCAGGCCTGAAAAGACACTTTTCATCTAACCACATTAAATCTATTTTAACAATTAGAATTTGACACCAACTTCTCATTGATAAAATGGGAGATTGGCAGGGATAGACAATCTCTAAAATTTCTTACTGTTCCAAGCACCCATGGTTGCATTTATACATATCTTTTCTCAATCATTTTTATCACTATAGAATTATATAAAACTGCACAAGTGGGTTAATTGGAGTTTATTAGCCTTAAATCACAAGTCCAGATATTTATTAACTGGGTACAGAAGGATGATTTAAAGAAATAAAATAATAACCACTACTTCCTAAAAAAATACACAGAACCCACAAATCTGTGCTATATCATTTGATAACTACAGAGAGCCATGCATTGAAGATGTGTTGTGACATAGGCCAGTACTAATTCTCCTATCAACAAGCATCCTTAACCAAGTGGGTATTCAGCAAGTAATTTCCGTGGATTCTGCCAGTTGGGTTTGAGGAGATGGGGAGAAAGAGGACTGATGAAAAGTAAAATCGTCAGAATAAGTTGAATGTTTTGTGGGGGTCTCTGTTTTTGCTTTTCACTTTTTTTTTCTCACACTGGTGTGGACTTTCCTTGGCTGCACAGAGGAAAACTGAATTCTTCTCCCCTGCTATATCAAGGATACCTGGAGGCATACCCTCAAAGTAGGTGTTCTAGGCCTACTTTGGCATCTGAACATACTTCCTGTGTCTGCTAACCATGCTTTGGTGTGTTGTGCAGAGTCTTCAGGTATCTGGTAACGAAGAAAAAACTTCTTGCTCTATTTCTTCTAAAATAACTCTAACTCTTTCACAGAATATCATAACAAACCTACACGACACTGATTCTAACTACTCCAACAGCTATTAAAATACCTGAAAGAAAATCCTGAATCATTCGCTTGAGAGTCCAGGCTTGGAAGACAAAAGAAAAATGAGGAGGAACACAATAGCGGGATGCTTTTGGAAGCCCTTGTCATGAAACTCCAATGGACTCTCATATGAACATT